ACCGAGGCCAACTTGACCCTGGAATGGGGAAGTACAGTGTGCACCGAATGGGGGGGTGTTTTTGCTGCTTTTAAAAAACTTTTTTGAAAAGCACCCTTGGGCTAGATATGATGAGTGAATGATGGCCCAAACCCCTGCCGGGTGGAATCGGCCATGTGCAAAAAATAATAAATAAAAAAAATTTGAATGGGGTTTATTCACTAATGGCTTCCACAAGGATCATTTTAGGCCCCTCTTTTGACATTTTTTTACTTTAAATGCCCTTGAGAAGGATTACATGCAGACAGATTTGCTGATAAAACAAAGATAAGCCGTAGTTTATTTAAAGGGGGATGCAATGAACTCCAGGAGGTTTTGGGAAAAATTTTAATTAATGTCTTGGTCTGAAAAGGGCAGATGAATTTTTAATGTGGAAAAGTGTAAGGAAGTGAAGTCCTGGAAAACAAAAATACCCCTCGATGCTAAAAACTGGGAAGTGGGTTTGATCAAAACAGAATGTGAAAAAGACTTATAATGGTAAGCAGAAACCTAAAGCAAGACGCAATCCCCTAGTGTGCAAAAAAAGGGCCCAAACAGTTTATTTGGGATTTATCTCAAAAGTAAATACAGAATAAAAAAGTTTTTTACAGCTCTATACATCACTAGTGAGGCCCATTTGTGATGAAGGTTTGAAAACCGCAATTAAGATTGAGACCTTATGCAGCATAGGGGAATCTTTATTCAGGAAAGTTCGCCACACATGGCTTCATCATCCAATACAAAAGGCTAAAGAGAGGAGGAAATGAGGAATCGCCCCCCAAACCCTGGAGTCGATGTTTCATCCATCAATCTTGTAGAATGTACAGCATGGGGGCCGTAGACGGGGCTTATATATGTGTGAGGTGAAGTAAACAGGCGGGGGGGGGGGGCAAGTGGTCCACCACTAGCAAGTAGGTCTTGTCCAAAGGTTTGAAAAAAGTGTTGAAAAATTTTCTTTGTAACAAGATCCTGATGCTGCAGTGTCTGACAGTTGTGATGAATGGTTTAAAAACCCGACAATTGAAATTGAACACTTATGCAGATAGGGGAATCTTTATTCGGAAACTTTTTCGCCAACAGTGGCTCATCAGTCCAATACAAAAAAGGGCGAAAAGAGAGGAGGTGAGGAAATCAGTCCTAACCTGGAGTCGTGTTTCAGCCCATAATCTTGATTGATGGACTGAACACACGACCCCGGTTGAGGGACTGATTCCCTCATTCTCCCCCCTTCTTTACACCTTTTTTGTTTTGGACTGTAAGCCACTGTTGGGCGAAACTTTTCCTGAATAAAGATTCCCATTGCGCAAAAGTGTCCAATTTCAATACCCCTCATTTGGATTTGTGCTCGTTTTGGTTCCTTACACGGGATGGATAAAAACTCGTTAGAGAACATACAGAAAGAATGGCTAAAAAAATTTACTGTGAAAGGAATCTCCGTATGGAGAAGATTTAAAAGGCCTAAATTCCACTCTTGGAGAGACGTAAATGGGGGGAGATACACTGAAGTGTAAAGTGGATGAGGGGCATAAGCAAAGGAGAATAAGTACTAAAGGGTCAAACCCAAGTAAGAACCAAAATAATGCTTTTAAAGTTAGAAAAAATTTTAGATTTAGAAAGGACATAGGTAAGACTTTTTCTAGAAGGGGTGGGGATGTGTGGAACAATCTTCCCATAGGTTGTTGGGGCTAGGCCCTTGGTATTAAAAGAAAGATTGGACAAATAAGAGGGGAGGGCTATTTTGATTGGGGTCATGGGACGGATTTAATTTTTGGGTATTTTGGGGGTAGGGTTTTGCTTTTTGAAAAGGGATCTGCCTTGTAGGGGCCAGTGGGCCCTTCTCAGTTTCCTCCATTTTATTTTTCTTATATTAATAAGGCAAACAGTTACGGGGAATATACAAGAATTGAAGCAACGAAGTTCGAGGTTTTATTCACTTTATATATTATTGTAAGGCCCTAAATCTATTTTAGCGCTCATTCTGGTCCCCATATTACAAATGGAATAAATTCATTAAAAAACATTCAGCTTAGAATGACAAAATTAAAAAATAGCATTAGAAATTTTACGTATGAAGTTCGATTGAAGACGTGATGAAGGTATAATGGAAGTGAGTATCAAAAAAGGGGATATAAATAAGTTCTTGAGGGTTTCCCTCCCAAAAAGAACCCGCAGTAAGGATTTTCAAATTTGACAAGTTTTAGATTTAGAAAAGGGTACACAAACAATCAAACAATTTTTCCATAAGGGTTCAATGCGGGGTTTACAGATTTGGATTTTTTGTGGTTTACATTTTTAAAATACTAATTTCAGAGGGGGCCCTAGGACACCTAGCATGGGTTCGCATTTCGGGGAGCTTAATTAAAATTCAAACTTTAAATATTACAGATTATGGTTTAAGGGGAAGGGGGCTACATTATAGTTTGTAATTTAGCTGTGAATGCTTTTTTTTTGGGGACAATACATAGTGCTAATTGGGAGTATCATAGGCAAGCTTATGACTATTAGGGCATTATTTTTAAAGGGTTTAAGATTCTATTTTTGTGTTTATAGTCGATGGCGAGTGAGTGTAAGTGTGAACCCCCAGTGGTTTTCATGTACGTAGTTTGTTGACGGGGGGTTTTCGGGAATAAGATGTTTTTTAACTGAGTTTCGAAAGTGATGAAGGTCTGCAGTTCTAGAGTTTTTAGGTAGGTGTTCCAGATTTTTGGCCCTTTGACACCATTGAATTTTTTTAAAGGTTTACCGGGCATGGGAAAGTCATAGAGTTGCGTCGGTGTTTTCCCTTTGGGGCCTGTCACAACTATCAAAAAAAGCATTTTGGGGCAAGGGTTAAAATTGGAATTAAAGGGCCTTTTGATGTAGACTGACTTAGTAAGTGTGGATGTTCGAACAGGAGTAAATTTGATCTATGAAGAGTGGGGGGGGGGTGTTGCCCGGATGGGGGTTTAGTGATTTCTTACTGAGGGGTTTTTGTTGGGGTTTTTTTGGGTTTAAAATGTGTTGCTGCAGTTGATCCCCCAAACACAAAAAGCATAGGAGGAAAAATAAAAAGTGAATGGGATATTGGGGAAGGGAGTTTGCGCAGTAAAATCGTATCTTGGAGAGGGTCCCCCCGTTTTTTGGGTACTTTCTTGTTTGTGTTGGAATGGTGCTGAAAATTTTGGTTCTTGTTTAGTATTGACCTAGGGTTTGCCCTCATTATGCTCAGTTAAGTGTTGTCGATCTTAAGTTAAGTTGCGCAACACCTGCCTGCTAAACCAAAAATAATGTAATAGGTTTTTTCAGTGTTAAATTTTTAAATTTATTGGCTTGTCATCCAAGTCAGAATTTTGAGCAGCCTTCGTTGATTGGGGTTGAGGGTGGGGAAAATTAGGTGGGGGAAAGCGTAAGTTCTCGTCACAAAGGAAGGTTTCAGGGGGTTGGGGGACATTTGGGGGACATTAATGAAAAAGAGGAAGACAGGGGGCCAAGGACACTTCCCTGCGGGAATCCAGTATCAAGTGGCTGTGTTTTTGGGCTTGCTTTTAAAGGTGAAAAATGGGTACCTTTTGTAAGGTATATTTTAAATACCAAGGCCCGGCCTCTTTTACATAATGGTAAGTTTTTGGAGTAGGATCCCTGGGCTACGTTCAAACGCTTTTCTTTTGGTCAAAAAAATTTTAGGGTATTCCCTTATTTTCCAAACTGGGAAAAAGATCTACATTTTTCAATTGCACATTAGTGCTTTTTTTTTTCCCGAATCCAAAAAGGGAGGGGGTTTTATTTTTGTGCGTTTTAAAGAATATACTCCCGGCCGAGTTTCTCTAAGATTTTGGTACAATACAGGAAAGTACAGTTTGGAAATAGGGGGGTTTATGATGGAAAGCTGCCTATAGGGTTTTCGAGGCTAAAAACCCTTGGGGAGTTTTTAAATTTAGGTTGGGTAAATACATGGAAAGGGGGTTTGGGTTTTTATAGACTTTCACATGGGTAAATAGAATTTTCAAAACCTTATTTCTTGGGAGATTGAAAATTGAGTTTTGGGAAAAATTTTTTTAGTGGGGGTGGATGTGAAGGACCTGTCTAGTAGGGCCAACAGGCCTGCTGCAGTGTTCCCCCCTTTCATAGTTCTTATAGGGCCTTGGGGTAAAGAGATGGGGCTGTATGGCAAGCTTCCTTGTGAAAACATTTTTTGGGGAACTGAAAACCCTTTCTTCTAACTTCAAACAGAGTTTTGTAGGGAATTTTTGCCCTATCAATGTGTTTATCAACTTCAAAGTCCTCAAATAAAATGATTTTCAGTTGGGAATTTTACAAAAGGGGAAACCCCAAAAGTTGAAAAAAGCAAAGTTGAGGGAAACCATTATTATTATTATTTATTATTATTATTTTTTATTAATTTTTTATTATTATTAAAAATTTATTATTATTATATTATTTTTTAAATTTTTATTATTTTATTAATTATTTTTTTATTATTATTTTTATTATTATTTTTTTTATTATTAGTAAAAAAAGGACACAAGACAGTGGGCCCCCCCCATAACGACACCTCCCAAACGACCCATTATTAAGTGTATTTATTTAAATGCGTTTTTACGTGAGTTTGGGGTCGAAATGGACAATCACTTCAATATTTCCCTTTTGGGGAAAAATTTGGCACTACTGGCACCCAACATACTTCTGGAGTGAAAAAATATCGTTAACCGGGGGGGCCACGTACAACTATTTTTGAACAATTTTTTTTTTTGGGGAAGTTTTTTTTCTCGAGGACTTTTTCAAGCTGTTATGGCTTGACAAAGCCCCGAGAGTGACACTTCCACAATAAATTTCACATTAGTTGCACTTGTTTCCTTTTAATTAAAAATTTCAGTAAATTCTACCACTATGTGCTATTATTATTAAATGTAGGAACTACTGAAATTTTTACATATTTTACGAAACCTGGGTAAAATTTGGGTTTAAGTGTACATCAAACCACTAAATGTAAGTTTTATTTTCAGGTTGGTGATCTGAAGCATGGCAGGCCCCTTCACCCCCCCCTGGCCCCCGCTTCTACACTTTTCAATGTACAGCTTCGCTATGTTTCACCTCCAGGTCTTGGTATGCCAGACTACATCACTCAGTTTGCAACCTCTCAAGGCATTCACCAGGTTAGTCGAAGAAAACTTTGTTACTTTAGAAGGGCAAACAGATTCTTACTTTTGGTGAATTTCATGAGTTTTATCACTCCTGCAGTATGTCTCATTGCCAGGCTTGTCTGGTGCTTGCCTGCTTTACCAGGCTATTGCTGCTGGCTATATTTTTCACTTTAACACTGGTGGTCAACATTTTCTCCCTTCTCATTGTCTTTATAATAAGTGCTATCTTTCTCATCCTTTTATCCCAGTTTTCTGGGGGAGGGAGATAAGGGAAGGTTCCTCTAGTGTAAGCAAAGCTTCAAGGTAATCCTTAGTCGATAGTCCTCAGTCTTACTGTAGATTTTTATTATATGTAACAAGTAAGAACTTCACTCATGTGGTTACACCAGCATGTTGAAGTTTAACAATACCGCATTTCGTATGCTTTGAAATTGGGTATAAGGGAATGATGGAGAGGAGTGGGAATGTCTGTTTAAATGAAACTCCATTGTATGGAAATGTCCAATGCAGTGGACAAGGTTGTGTGTTTGGGGAGCCTACTGGACATGCACACTACTGCTAGCAAAACACATTCTCCGTGCAGCAGATTTATTCTGTTGCATCGAATATTTGTTCAAGCAAATACACACATTAAAACACTTTACAACATACTACCATATATTAAAACACTGTACAACATACTACCACACATTCAAACACTTTACAACTTACTACCATACATTAAAACTTGACAACATGCTACCATACATTGAAACACTTTACAACGTACTACCATGCAAAGTAAAAGGACACAAGTGCAACTAATGTGACATTTTATTGTGGCAACGTTTCACTCTCCAGGAGCTTTGTCAAGCCATTACAAACAATACATGGACACAGAGGGTATATAAAGGCTCAGAGTGAGGTGCAATACTAGTGAGGTACCATTTCGATGTTCACTAGTGGTGGTGGTGGTGGTAGTAGTAGTAGTAGTAGTAGTAGTAGCAGTAGTGACAAAAGTAATGCAATATGGTAGAGCAATTAATTCGTACATGAGTAAAAGGATATAAAAGCTATTACTTGGGTAACATAAAAATAGTTTGGACAAATATAGAGTGGTAAGAGGCAGCTTGTTTCAGTGTTCACTCTCTGTAATGTGTTTTGTGTAGTATAACAAGAAAGACTATGTGATGGCAGGGTTTACTGTTTTCAGGAGGATTCTTGCTAAGACTTCGGAGATGGTGAAGCTGCCGTTGTTTTGTTTAATTGTATTCAAAACAGCGATCAGTGCTGATTTGAGGCACTTGCGTCTGCGGAAATTAGTTTCTTTGATCACTAATTGGGCGTCTCTGAATTTCATGAGATGATTGGTGGAATTTCGGTGTTGTACACAGGCGTTATTCAAGTTATTGTTCCTACATGCGTAAATGTGTTCATTGAGGTGGGTGTCGAGGTTTCTTGCTGTTTCACCTACATAAATCTTGTCACAGCCTCCACAGGGTATAGTGTAAACTCCTACATTGACTGGTTCGTGGTGCTTGGATTTTGTCCTGGTTAGATACTTTATTGAAGTGCTAGAAGCGATGGCGACTCTGGTGTTAGCTTGTGAAAGTACTTTTGAGACGTTCAGTGCAACCTGGCTGTTGGGAAGAATTATAACTTTGTTGGGAGTGGTGTTGATGCATGGAGAATTAATGATCTGAAGAGCTCTTTTCTTGCAGTCTTTGATGAAAAAAGAAGGAAAAAGTAACTCTGTGAATGTTTGATGAATGTATGTACATTCCTCGTCAAGAAACTCAGGACTACAAATTCGGTATGCTCTTAGGAAAAACCCGATGATGATGCCTCTTTTTGTCTTGGTGTCTTGACTGGAATAGAAGTGTGTGAGATCATTTTTATTGGTGGGTTCCGATTAAACTTGAAATCTTAGGTTGTTGTCTACTTTGTGAATGAGGACGTCGAGGAAAGGTAACTTGTCATTGGACTCTCCTTCTAGTGTAAACTGGATCGCCGGTTCAACTGCGTTGAGCCTTGCCTGAAGATTCCGTACATCAAAACGTTTGGGAGTTATTACGAGGACGTCGTCCACGTAACGTAACCAAGTGACGCTTGAAGTGATGATGTTTGCGAAGTGTTCGGACTCTAGGTGTTCCATGTATAAGTTGGCTAGGACGGCACTGATGGGGGACCCCATTCCCATGCCGTAGGTTTGTTTGTAGAGCTTGTTATTGAAAGAAAAGCAGTTGAAATTAACACAGAGTTCAATCAAGTCAACAAAATCTCCGGGAGGTAGAGGAAGATTAAGGTCCTAAACCAGCACACATGTATGGTTTACCAAAGACCCATAAACACAATATTCCTCTCAGACCAATCACGTCAGGAATAAGCAGTGCTCCACACAAACTAGCCGGAGTTCTTGCCAAACATCTTTCCTGCCTTCTGGGGACCATCAGCCCCACTCATCTTAAACACTCAGGCAACCTTCTCAACCGCATCCGTAACCTCTCCATCCGTAACAAGAAACTAAGCAGTTTGGATGTGACTTCCCTCTTCACAAAAGTACCTACCAAAAAAGCCATCGAGGTTCTACGACGTAAAGTCAATCAGGACCTTAATCTTCCTCTACCTCCCGGAGATTTTGTTGACTTGATTGAACTCTGTGTTAATTTCAACTGCTTTTCTTTCAATAACAAGCTCTACAAACAAACCTACGGCATGGGAATGGGGTCTCCCATCAGTGCCATCCTAGCCAACTTATACATGGAACACCTAGAGTCCGAACACTTTGCAAACATCATCCCTTCAAGCGTCACTTGGTTACGTTGTGTGGACGACGTCCTCGTAATAACTCCCAAACGTTTTGATGTACAGAATCTTCAGGCAAGGCTCAACGCAGTTGAACCGGCGATCCAGTTTACACTAGAAGGAGAGTCCAATGACAAGTTACCTTTCCTCGACGTCCTCATTCACAAAGTAGACAACAACCTAAGATTTCAAGTTTATCGGAAACCCACCAATAAAACTGATCTCACACACTTCTATTCCAGTCAAGATACCAAGACAAAAAGAGGCATCATCATCGGGTTTTTCCTAGAGCATACCGAATTTGTAGTCCTGAGTTTCTGACGAGGAATGTACATACATTCACCAAACATTCACAGAGTTACATTTTCCTTCTTTTTTCATCAAAGACTGCAAGAAAAGAGCTCTTCAGATCATTAATTCTCCACGCATCAACACCACTCCCAACAAAGTTATAATTCTTCCCAACAGCCAGGTTGCACTGAAAGTCTCAAAAGTACTTTCACAAGCTAACACCAGAGTCGCCATCGCTTCTAGCACTTCAATAAAGGATCTAACCAGGACAAAATCCAAGCACCACGAACCAGTCAATGCAGGAGTTTACACTATACCCTGTGAGGCTGTGACAAGATTTACGTAGGTGAAACAGCAAGAAACCTCGACACCCGCCTCAATGAACACATTTACTCATGTAGGAATGATAACTTGAACAACACCTGTGTACAACACCGAAATTCCACCAATCATCTCATGAAATTCAGAGACACCCAATTAGTGATCAAAGAAACTAATTTCCGCAGACGCAAGTGCCTCGAATCAGCATTGATCACTGTTTCGAATACAATTAAACAAAACAACGGCAGCTTCACCATCTCCGAAGTCTTAGCAAGAATCCTCCTGAAAACAGTAAACCCTGCCATCACATAGTCTTTCTTGTTATACTACACAAAACACATTACAGAGAGTGAACACTGAAACAAGCTGCCTCTTACCACTCTATATTTGTCCAAACTATTTTTATGTTACCCAAGTAATAGCTTTTATATCCTTTTACTCATGTACGAATTAATTGCTCTACCATATTGCATTACTCTTGTCACTACTGCTACTACTACTACTACTACTACTACTACTACTACTACTACTACTACCACCACCACCACTAGTGAACATCGAAATGGTACCTCACTAGTATTGCACCTCACTCTGAGCCTTTATATACCCTCTGTGTCCATGTATTGTTTGTAATGGCTTGATAAAGCTCCTGGAGAGCGAAACGTTGCCACAATAAAATGTCACATTAGTTGCACTTGTGTCCTTTTACTTTACATATTGTCGGTAATTCTACCAACTTTATTACAACGTACTACCATACATTAAAACACTGTACAACATACTACCATACATTAAAATACTGTACAACGTACTACCATACATTAAAACGCTTTACAAAGTACTGTCATACATTAAAACCATTCATAATATGGCACCCCAGATCTCTGCCACCATAAGAAAACTTCCACAACAACACTACACTATGTATTACATTTATGAGGGACGGAGTACTTCACCCAAGGAGGGAGTACTTTACCTGGGGAGGCAGTGTTATGAACTATGCAAGAGTGTGTGGTAATGTAGTATGCATTTATAGTCACCACTGCTAGCAAATTTATTTTTTTAACTATCCTCAGTAACCCTTGTTGACCTTCACTCTCTTCAGTCTTCCATGCAAGGGTTGGTCTAACATGAAGGTACATCTTTTATGATGGAAAATTCAATAATCACTGTAATGGCTTATTGGATGTATATTTTCCAAGCATTTTCATAACTGCATACAGTACAGCTTGTAAACCTGATCTCTACAGTGTTAATCTTTAGCATAAATATTTCCAAGTTATTGTTTCAACTGGTCAGTTTAGAATTGATTACAGTATATTCAGTTGAGTTGATTGCTCGATTTCTAGCACACTCGGCCCACACACTGAGGTCCATGGTTCGATCCCCAGTAAAGATGGAAACATTAGGACCTGTTTCCTTAAGACACCTGCTGTCAGTAAAATAGGTGGAATAAACCTTGGTAATAAATACCGACAAGTTGGTTTAGAAAGACACGTAAGCAAACACTATAACATATTTAATAGAAAACGTTTCGGTCCTGGGACCTTGATCACTTCTAACATACAGAGGTATGTTGAACCATCAATAAAGTTTACACTTGAACTCGAAAATGATGGCAAACGTCCTTTCCTCGACGTTCTACTGTGCAGATCTCCCGACAGTGACAAACTTCTCTTCAAAGTGTATAGAAAACCTACCAACAAGGACGATCTTATACACTTTTATTCACACCAAGACACCCGCACTAAGAGAGTAGTCCTCATTGGCTTCTTCTTGAGAGCTCTTCGCATCTCCAGCCCTTGTTTTCTAGAAGAAGAATGCACTTACATAACACAAGCCTTTACACGTCTTCAGTTCCATCTTTCTTCATCCGAGATTGCAGACTCAAGGCACAAGCTATCCTCAACAAACCGCCCATGGAACAGCCCCCTAAACAGTTCATAGTACTCCCATGTGGCGATGTTGCCACAAATACTCGCAGGGCACTTGCTATGAGTAACATCAACGTTTCCACCATAAACACATCATCTATCAAAGACCTCACTACGAAACGCAGCCCCACACCTCTAACTTCTACAGCAGGCGTCTACGCTATCCCCTGTGGGTTCTGTCCCAAGAAATATGTAGGCGAGACAGGCAGAGATCTTGCAGTCCGCCTGAATGAGCATCGAAATGCCTCTAACAGAGACAATGTAAGGTACGCATGTGTCCTCCACAGAGACTCTACGGGGCATTTGATGAACTGGAATGAGGCACAACTCGTTCTCACCGAACCAGACCTCAGACGCCGACGGTGCCTAGAAGCCTCATTAATCGCCGTCACCGACACTATAGAACGCAACACTGGAAACTACAAAATTTCAAAAAGCATTGGCATACATGATACTTAAGCAGCACCAACCCAACAACACAGGAGTCACGTGATTTCATCGTCTACCCGTCCTCATCATAGGCAGAGGTTGTTTTTGATAAGGACCTGCCTCGCATGGGCCAGTAGGCCTTCTACAGTGTTCCTCCATTCTTATGTTCTTATGACATTCCTCAGGTCACATGCATCACACCTCACTCTCCGCCTATATATAATGTCTTCCTACCTCTGTATGTTAGAAGTGATCAAGGTCCCAGGACCGAAACGTTTTCTAATAAATATGTTATAGTGTTTGCTTACGTGTCTTTCTAAACCAGTAAAATAGGTACCTGGGTGTTAGTCGACTGGTGTGGGTTGCATCCTGGGACAAAATTGACCTTATTTGCCCAAAATGCTCTGCATAACAAAGGGCTTTCTGTATAGCAGTATGTCGTTGATGTCAGGTGTGTATACTCTGTACATGTTCTTGTAGAAATAAAAATTATTATTATTGTTATTATTATTATTATTATTATTGTATCTTTCGTAGCTTACAACTGTTGTGCTGCTCCTTGCTTCTTTGAAAATACATACAGTATATTTTTACTTTCCTTGTCATTAATTCTACATAAATTATTCTACTTTTATAGAAATATACTTTTTGGTTTTATATACTATAATGAAATGTATTTTTCTTCTTTCATCAGGAGGAATTCAACAGTTTAGAAGCAGCACTTCCAGACACGGATGTGTTGTATATGACAAGAATCCAGAAGGAAAGGTTCGTCACTCTTGAAGATTATGAAAGGGTAAGCTCTAATCTTTAATAGTACTGTATACTACTACATTTACAAAATAAATCTCCATTGTGACAGACTTAAGAAATGCAGGACAAAATCCACTGTGTCAGTTGACTTTGATACGGCAGACAAACTTTGTGTAACAAAATTGTCAGTTTTGTTACCATCAGGGCAAAACAATATTATCTCCATCACATTTGACATTACTGGCCACCCTCTCTTCCTATCAAGTAGTCAAATAAAAGGTTTGTTGTATTTTCATATTTTTAACAAGAATGATTTTTAATAGAATATTAATAATTGGTTCTAGATAGTAGACAGCAACCACCCAGGGAGATACTACCATCCTGCTAAGTGAGTGTAAAATGGAAAGCTGTAATTGTTTTACATGATGGTAGGATTGCTGATTTTTTTTCTGTCTCGTAAATATGCAAGATTTCAGGTACATCTTGCTACTTCTCCTTACACTTAGGTCACACTACACATATGTGTACAAGCATATACAATGGTACCTCAGGATATGAACTTATTTTGTTTCC